CTCAGCCCGAGGCCAGGTCCAGCTGCAGCCTCCCCCGGGACCCCGGCCAGCGCTCCGTCCTGCCCGCCGGTCAGAGGCCGCCCTCCGGCGATCCCGGCCACGGGTAGCCGAAAGTTGCAAGTTTTCTGAATAGCTAAAGCGGTGCGGACATAATTGCACGTTTTATTTCTAATGAATCAGATGCACGTTGAAAAAAAAAGCCTCTGAAAGGTCTCGCAGAGCCAAGGCGTGCTTTGTGTGTCCTTAGCTTTTCAAGTCTTCCGGCAAAGCGACCTGCAGGATTTCACCGGGCTTGTTGCGTGCGGTTACCGAGAAAATGTTAAGAAGGTGTGGTAGTTGACAGGAAGCTTTGCTGGTTCAGATTCTTGCAAATCTATCGGAAAAGTCAGGTGTTTCCCTTCAAAAATGTATGTTGAAATCTCAGGGTGTTGTAGGAATGAGTAGGAAGCTTCACCTTAATTTCTTCTTTTGCTTTGCTTCTACCTGTGAATTTTGCATTAGCTTTTCTGCACATCAAAGTACGTATTCTGTCAGACTTCACTGTTGTTGTATGTTGCTAGCTTACAACAATGTTAAGAACTACTGAATTTGAGGACTCCTTTCATTGTGTAAAGACTAGCAAGACTGGAACTTTATGAGAGTATATTAATTTATGGGTTAAGACTGTTTTCAACAGGAAACATAGCATCTTCCAGTTTGCTTCCACTTAAATACTCACTTTTAAAATCTGTTGAGTACTTATTGAAGCTGACATTCAAAGCCATGTACACAGTGGAACTGTTAACTAAAAACAGAGGAAAATCTCAAAAGCATGATTTGGTCCAGCAAAGGTGCTCAGTTGGCATGACCCTTCAATTCTCTACCAAATGGACTGTATCAAAGGAGTTATTTTGATGAAGGGAGTTTTCATTTCTTATAACTGAGTGCAGGAGAAGTGATTGAAGTAGTAGTAGCTGATATTTTAATTATTCAGCTCTTATATCTTTATTATGTGTTTTGTTTAAGCATTCGGTAAAGAAAAAGACAAGGAGAAGAAGTTAGACGATGACAGCACCAGTACCACAGTCCCTCAGTCAGCTTTCTTGGGCCCAACATTATGGGACAAGACACTGCCGTACGATGGAGACACTTTCCAGTTGGAATACATGGACCTGGAAGAATTCCTCTCAGAAAATGGCATTCCACCCAGCCCAAACCAGCACGAGCATAGCCCGCACCAGTCAGGTCTCCAGCAAGCTACCTCAGCATCACCTTCTGTCATGGACCTCAGCAGCAGGGCTTCTACTTCAGTCCATCCAGGCATGGTGTCGCAGAACTGCATGCAGAGCCCGGTCAGACCAGGTAAATCAGCCCTAAGAACTTCCTATGGATGTTGGCAGGAGCCCTTCTCCCCACTGTGAATTGTTGCTTCTCCCTGTGTGGTTGAAAGGCAGCTTAGAGAGACCCGATATGATTTAAGACACACTCTAAAAAAATAATAGCTTTAGTTATTGGTAAATTGCTCCACTGGGGTTTTTGTCCAGATTATGTAAGGAAGTTGTGGGAATTCCAAGGAAAGTTCCTTCTTCATTGGTAGCCTAGCTATTAACCAGTAAAAAACCCACAAGCAGAATAGTAATGCACAGATGCCGTGGTGTTAAAGAACAGGGAGAAGGATCATGAAAGAGAGCGTTCCTTTGGCCAGTATTTGAGGTGAGAACACAGGAGTGGGCAATTATTTTGAAGTTAACACTTAAAGACAATTCTTCCTATTTTAAATTTTGGTCATAATTTTGCCACAGTACACAGGGCAGAAACTAAATTTTGAAGCTGTATTAAAGTTCCTGCTTAAATTAGCATAAACTCTGATCTGAGTTGGTAACTTGTATCCATAGTCAGCTTAAGCTGTAGGCAAAGAAAACATCATGGAGTCCACATTCTGGTTGTAACTCATGATTCGGACCCATCTGATCTCAGTGGAAGACTTCTGCTAGTTTATTAGCACTTGAAATCATCCCTGTAGAGACACTAGCATGAATCCAGAATAACTGCTCTGGCTTGACACCAGCATGGTTGAGATCATTGTCAGTGGAACAGTGTCGACATTGGAGTTTGGAAAATATAGAGCTTTGCCTTTTTCTCTTTAAAAACCACCCCAAGTATGACTTACTGTGCTCCTCTGCTCACAGAAGGTTTGCTAGAGCAAAGTGTGCTCTGGGGAGCAGGAAACCACTCCTCTCCCTTCTACTTGATCGTTTGCCATGCTCAGCGTGCAAAGTCATTGTCAGAATCATCTGATAAGGAAGCAAAATAAATAAATGGAAGGACAGAAGTTGTGGAGCAGGATGAAATAGAAAAGTCTTACAGGTTTGCAACATTCCTTTCTCGTTAAAAAGAAATAAAAAAACCTCCCCAAAACACCCCAAACCTGTCAACAGACTCCTTGGCCCCAAGTCAGAAGCGTGTTTGGTCGTGGATTTAATTTGCTTACTTTTACTTGATGTGAATTTCACTTTGTTTTGTATTTCAGTTTCAGACATTTCGTAGTTAACATATAAGGGTTTCCAAAGATAGAATATATTTGGAGTTGGCAAGAGCAGAATATAAAAACCCCTTGACTTTTCTGAGCCAGTTTTTAAAAATAGTGCGTATACGCTACACCATTTTCTGTCGCATAGGCACACAGAAAATTAAAAGCACATAATCTGTCCTCATTGTTGGTTTTTTTTTTTTTTTTTCAGAGGAGCCTGGTTATGAGCCAGGCTTTTAATGATTACCTGTCAGAATTTATTTGTAATCAGCTGTCCACATGACTTTTCAACTCATTGATTTTTTTAGTTTTTCCTGAGCCATTTGCAGCTCAGGGTTAAACCTTATCCCACTAAAAACTCTGAATACATTTTTTACTGTTGTAGCAAGAAGTCGTGTCGCTTGGGGTAGGAAAAAAGGTCTAAAGATGCAAGTATTTTTCCCCCATGTCATCTTGCCTGAAGAAAAATACATTTTTTTGGTTAAATGTATTTTTTTTTTAAATGGAGCTCATTCCATTTTTTAAAATAATATTTTCTCCCCTCTCCTCCCTTACAGATAGCTACTATGACTTAATTAACATGAGTCTGTTTCATGATCATGTTGTTGAAATTTTTATGCTGTCATGTGAAAAATCTTACTTTGGCTTGTTTTTAAGAGATCATCTTAGAGTTCAGCATTTAAACATGTTTTAAAATGAGACAGTATGTATTTTTAAAAGCAAATTTTTAGTGAAAGTAAACAAAATTTAGGGTTGTCATTAATGTGCCAAGGCCAATACATGGCTTTAAAATACAAAAGTTAGTCTGGAGGTAAATGTTAAAATCATTACAGTGGAGCCTTTTGGTTAATAGACCTTAAGACTTATAAAGCACGTTTTCAAAACTGTACATGAAGAAAGGGGTTTTTTAATTGGTGTGAGCTACTACCTCTGATACTTGTGATTTGTATTACTCAAGAATGAATAGTAAAAAGTACACCATTTCAGTAAAAATTAATCCAATGTGATGTCATTTTTGGGAAAAATGGATTTTTTTTAGATGATAGTAATTCTACAGAGGGTTGTCTTGTGTCCTCTGAATTTTGTCTTGTAATGGAAGCCTGTTTGAGCACGTGGGCTCTGGCTGAAGGAAGGGTCAAATCCTGCAGTGCTTGTGTCCCTGCTTTCAGTGGTGCTGCAGTATTTGGCATCAGTGTCTCACGTGCAGTTGGTCAGAACTCCTGTACCTGTGTGTGCTGTGTCCAGGGGAGGACACACGTGCCCGTGGAACCCCAGATGTGACTCATGTACGTGTGTGCTCTATCTTGGACGTAGAAGGTCTAGAGAAGAGTGGCATAAGAAGGTTCAATTTTGTGCATGTGTTAAATTAAAAGCCTTAGCTGTCCTTAGAAGCTAATCGTATTGCCTAAGTGTGTATTTTGTACCACCTCTGGAAGAGAGCTGGAAATCTGCACTGGTGTTCACTGAGAAGTGTCTGACCCTGACTGTAAATGTGATGTTACAAAGATTCTCTTTTTTCCCCCCCTCCCTTAAAGGTAAAAAAATAACAACAAAAAAAGTTCCTTATAAATTTAACTTAATTCTATATTTCCAGCTCAGATTGTCTGCTTGATTGAAAAATGTTTAGTCTCACCAGTTTCTCATCTGTTCGCTGGGCTATAGCAAAGAATAAAGCCAGCACCTACTTTCCCATGAATTTCTGTTCAGGGAATGTGCAAATGGCAAATACTGGTACGTTGTGTTTTTGTGGTGGTGGTGTTTTGTTTTTTGAAGAGAAGGGACACAGGATGACGACTGTTCAAAATTTGAATCTGATATATTTCTTTTCCACAGTACTGGGTTTGTTCATAAAAAATGAATTTTAGCATTACAGACTGCCATTCATTGTAACGTGTAGGCACAAGTGAAACTCCTTTTCTCTCTCTGTATTGGATGCTGGTTGGTTGAAATCTTTAGTCACTTTCAGAAAGAAAGGTTTGGTAAAGCTGTGTGCAAACACATTTCCATGGTTCTTCATCTGTTGTGTGCCTTGTGTTGTCTTTTGTCAGTTTTTTTTTTTTTTTGTGGAATGTAAACTCGAGTTAGCTGCAGAGTCCTTTAAGGAAATGTGAAGGATTTGTAACTGTTTGTATGTAAAGGGAGGCTGGTATTTTGCAGGTAACTAGTTGGTGGTTGCTTTTATCTGACATTTTTCCATGCGTAGCCCTTCTTTGGGTGAATGGGGAAGCTAGTGTAAAGGTTTTCAACAGTGAATTAGAGCTCAGAAGCATCAGTTGAGTCTGTTGGAAGACCCTGAGAAAACCCTTAGATAGTTTTTGGGATTTTGTGGTTTAGACCTGAAGTTCTGTTGGCTGCCAAAGCCTTGGATGTAGGGCTGTGTCACAGGGATGCTGCTGGCCCAGTGATGGCCCCTGGGTTGTCAGTGCCCTGCTCCTCAGGGAGGATAGGGCTGTTGGAGGCTTTGAAAACTCCCTCATTCTCTGTGTTCCTGGGATGGTGGTTTTCAGTCTGTGTTGCCTGGATGGCCAGGTGCCTCAGACTATTTGCAAAGGGTCTGCCAAAGATTATTTAAGGAAAGAAAAATCTGCTGCAGAAATACACCTATGAGCAATATCTGTGAGTCTTCACTTTCAGTTAAGGAGAAAAAAAAAATGGATTTAGGGGTGCATTAATCAGAAAGCTGAAAACTATTTTCATGTGAACTGTACTTACACCTTCTACCCCCCCCCCCCCCACATGAAGATTTTATTAAATGTCATGTGTTGTTTATTCAGCTGAGATATTTCATCTAGAGCCCAGCATTCATTATCTTTTACTTCTTACGTAGATACTGGACTGTAATGATTGACAGTAGGTGTGATGGGGTGGTTTTTGGCATTTTCTTTTAACTCTGGTTTGTGGTAGGCTCAGCAGCCAAATTGGAGAGGTTTGTTCTTGCTCCATCCAGCCTCTCCACTGCATACTGGGGATGACGTGGTGAAGGGGGCAGCCCACAGCAGGGTGTGTGTGCAGCACTCCCTTCATTGCAGTCTTAAGGTGACCTCTTCTGCGAAGGGCAGCGTTCCCAGCAGGCAGCGTGTGCGTGGAATCCTCTCCTAAGCCGTGATTGCTGTTTACAAGCGGTTACCAGGTGTTGCAGGAGCCAGGGCGCGAGTGCCCTCTCGGAGCCGAAGGATTCTCCCTGCAGCACCCAGAGGAGCTGGGAGTTCCCTGACCTCTGGTCTCCCACGTGATGCCACGGGAACAACCCGCTAAACCGTCGGGCAGGCTGGTGCCAGGGCTGCTCTGCACATTGCCTCTCACGTGAGGCGCGGGCTGGCTGCTGCCTGCGTGCCCATGTGCAGCAGGCACGTGGCAGGCCCCTGTGCAGCCTGCCTGGCGTGGGCACTGCCGCACTGGCAGGGTGGACGGCCATGGCCAGGGGAGTGCAGCACGCAGATGAGCCTCACCAAACTGCTCTCTGGATCAAAGGAAGATGCAAAATATATCCAGGCAAATATTAAAAATAGCCTGTCACATGATAACGGGGGAAAAAAGTGCTGAACGCACAGAGTCTTGTTAGTGCTCGAAGCAAGAACACTGTGTCTCCTTCAAGAGATCTGATTTTAATATCGACTGTTAAATGTTGGTTATTGGTTAAATAATGGCTTGACTGCATGAAAGAACTTGAAGTTATTTCGGAGTTCCAATAGTAAACAGCCCGAAACATCTTGGGTTTTATGCTATGCTTTTAAAATATACCTGGCTTGACTCTTCAGTTCTCGTTGGGAATAGTGCTCTCTGCACAGAGAGAGCTACTTAAGCAAGTAAGGGCTACCCAGTGTTAGGAAGA